TTGGTAGAGTGCCATAGCATCATAGCTCACAGCAGCCTCATACTCTTGGCCTCAAGTGATTCTCTTTCCTAAGCCTCCCAAGTACCTGGGACTACAGATGCCCACCACAAAGCCCGGCTATTTTTAGAGATGGGATCTCACTCTTGCTCAGGCTGGTCTCCAACTCCTGAGCTCAAGTAATCCACCTATCTCGGCCTCCCAAAGCGCTAGGATTACAGGTATAAGCCACCTGGGCTGACTTTTCTCTCCTAGATTTCTTCTACTTATGGGTACCAGCATATTTCCCTAACCCCAGCATTTCCTCCTCTGTGTATCAAGGGCTAAAAGCACAAGATGCACAAGAGATGTTCTCTGCCCTTGCAGAGCTTACAGTCTGGTGGAAAGGTCAGTCAAATAAACAGGTACTAAGGGTAAAATTCAATGTATATTGCTATGGTGGAAAGAGTGTTGAAAGGGCATAGGTGAGGAAGTGGCACATTGCCAGGGAAATAGGAAGTGGTTTCCCCCAGGAAGGGCCATCAGAGCTGGTTTTAAAAGATTAGTAGAAATTTGCCTGTCAAACACTTGGAGCAGGAGATTCTAAGCCAATGAAATAACATGTGCTAAGGTTCTGTCTCTTCATTCTACAGTTCCATCTCCTGTGGTTCAGGGAAAGCATGTGAAGAGACCATAGCCAGGTGCCCAGCAGTGGATGGGTCTACTTCTAAACCTACAGGATGATTTTATAGACATTGACAGGGATCCTCTTTCTCTTGCTCCACCCAGGCATCCTCACTGGGGTGAAACACATGTTGTCTTTAGTATGAAGGTAACCACAATATACACAGGGATATAGCCTATATTCTTGATCTTTGTCAGCATCACATGCTGGGCTTGGTTCCCAACTGGTGGACCTAGTCCATTCACTAATAGTCTACAAACCAGAAAGACCACATCACTTAGTGGAAAGAGTCTAAGTTATGGTATCTGAAGATCTGGAGTCACATTTGGCTCTATCAAGTGTCATGATGTTGGG